AGGGTTTCTAGATTTTTCTTCGTCTTTTTTTATTCTTTAATCCAACATGTTCATTTGGGTTTGCTCACTTGAACCTGTGGAGGTCCCCACAGCCATTCTGCATCCTAGGTGAATTTGGCCTTGGTAGGGCTCTGCCAAAGACTAATGGACTAAAAATGTGAACAGCCTCTTGGCCTATACCTTTGCCTTTCCATTACAGCATCCTTCAAATTATAATAACCCTTTTTAAAAAGAGCCTTTAAGATATATGAGCCCATCTTTTTATTCATGGACTCTACGAGTCAAATTTTCTAGTGAATATTCTATTGCCAGCATAAGGATGAGGAGGGAAAGGGTGTTCATTCTGTGTACAGCAGAGACATTAAACTTGCTGTATCCAGGCTGCATCATCTACCTGGATTGTTTCTGTTGTTTTCTATGTTATTTTCCCTGCGACTTTTAATGTACTACCTTTTTAAATGAGCTGTATAAACACCAAATTTGGGTACCATATTATCACAATTCAAAGCACTGTCATATTCCTTTCATCCTTTAATAACTCCAAGATCCTCAAATCTTCTGATTTTTAAATGTAAACAGAAATGGAACCATTGTGTTAACAATTTCTTGAAAACCTCAGATGTTCTGCAAGTAGCCCTTTCCTATATGTCTTCTGTTACCCTAAGAGCAGAATTTACTTTGATGGGCAGTTAACATTTTTGGGTTTGGTTGGTGTGTTTGGTTTTTTTTTTTGGTTTTTTTTTTTTTTTTTTAAATTCCTATCTGGCACCTGACTCATTGTACTTGAGTTTATTGCCCTATAACTAAAGGATCAGGGTGACTAGAAACAAGATCTGAGTTTCAGAGCTTTCCCATTTAAAGAGAAAATGCCTTAGAGTTCTGATTCTTTACCAAATAGTTCTCTGCTTTTATTTATAGCTTTTTCTTTACCTTGCCCAAAGTTCTGGCTTTGAGCAGTTTCCCTGTGTCTTTGCTGTTCTCGTTTCTCAGATGCATGGGGTCTCTAATAAAACCCTGGAGGAAGGAACCAAGGGGAAGGTTGGGATGGCACTTTTTCAATGGCTTCTTTTTTTTCCCCCCCTGTTGGTTTTTTAAGATTAACCATTCTCTGCTGCTATTTCCTTGCATAATGTAAGTTTTTAACTGCGATTTTGAGATGATTGAAATGTACTTGAGGCTTTTTTTTTTTTTTCTCAATTTGAAAAGGCTTTGTGAATTTTATTTTAGGATTGACCTCTCCTAGACTTGCCCTAAACATCACATATTCCTTGGTTAATATGAGCAGCAAAAGAGGGAGGATTGGGGTCAAGCCACTTATTCAGCATGGACCAAGTAGGCCTTGGGGATTACAGCATTCTCCAGAAGTGGCTTTAGAACTCTAATTTGCAGAAAGTCAAGGAGGTGCAACTCAAGGTTCTACTAGCAAGCAACCTATGAAAATGTCGGACATCCGCCTTTTTATATGGAAGATTGTTTCAGTCATTTACTCACCAACAATGACAAAGGAAAAAATGTCATTATGCAATCCATTTAACCCATAACCATATTACTCTGAGGAACTATCCAGCTACTCATCGGATACTTGATTGGTTACTCCTGAAATCAGACATGTTCCTGTAGAAAGAATTTTAAGTCATGTCTATGCACATATCAAGAATAAAGAACTTGTATCAAACAACGGCAGGGAAATCCTTCAGCAGTTCTAATCCACTTTCGATTTTCAACTATATTTACATCTAAAGCAATAGCAGACTTACCTGAAATCTCTTCTACATTGTAAAATCAATTGTAGAATTCAGGAATTCTGGTGAAATAACCAAAAAGCGAACAGAAGGCCCCTTTTTAACAATTGATGGGAAATTTTAATAGGAGAAAGAACATGTAACTTTGTAAATGTTTCCCAGCAAATAAGGGCTTTTCCCCCCCTACTATTTAAAGAGCCAGATAAACTAGAAGATCTGGAAAGTGGCAGCTGTAGAACTTGATCTTCTAAGTACTTCACAAACTTATTGAGCTTAATCATAATACTGTCAAATTACTATGATCCCAGGAAAGGATTTCTATTTGCTGTTAAAAATAAAGCCCTGATACATTTTTATTCTTTCTACTGAGTGCATTGTCTGTTTTCTTAATAAATGCAGTACAATAAACAAATTATTTAATAACCTACATGTTTCCAGAAATTTCTGTTTGTTTCCGAAGTTGGTCTGACCAAAAACAGTTGGAGGAAAAGATTGCTTAAATGTGCTTATTGAGTTTAAATTTGCACTGAAACTACAACTTGAATACTTGCCATTTGTGGGGTTTGTAGTTTTGCTTCTAGCTTTTAGTTGTGGAATTAAAGCACATTTAGGAGAATTTTTAAGAAAATTATTTCCTGCATCCAGTAGTGTTTTCCCATAACATTTGCAGTGTTTTCCCTCAAATTAATAATTCAATATGTGCAAAATTTGGTAAACTCTAGTCATTGTCATGATGTACATTATTGTTATACATAGGTTTTAAAAAATTTGTCTGATTCACTCTTTAGGATTAAAGTTCTTAGAAATGGAATGTCTGGGCCATAGAATGAACACATTGCATTCCCAGCCCCCACTGGGGGATCAAACCAAGGGTGCTCTACCTCTGAGTTATATGCCCACTGCTTATTTTAAGACAAGATCTTCCTAAATTGCCCCGGCTAGCCTCAAACTTGAACTCCTCTTGCCTCAGCCTACTGAGTCAGTGGAATTACAGGCATATGCCACTTCACTTAGCTAAGTAGGCACATTTTTTTAAAGTCTTTGATAAAAAGCCTTATCAGGAAAATTCTTAAGACTGTTTTTCTGTATACTAACAATTTTTTGAATGGGCCTGTTATAGTCTCACTTATTCCTAATAGATAGTTTGCCCCCAAAGAAGGAATATCTTGTTTTATGCACACTGGATTATTGATGAGGTGAAACACTTGTTTCATGGTTTTACTGGCCCTTTTACATTTTTTGTGTATCTGCATATATTTTCTAGCTTTACTTTGGAGTGCTTCCCTATTTGATGACTTGGTAGAGATTTGTTGTATACTAAAGCTGATGGATTTTTGTTATTTTTCCCTTACATATTTACTGAGGTTTTAATTTGCCTTATTTTTTTATTTGTAGTCTTACTATTGTTGATACTGGGGATTGAACCCCTGAGGTGTTTTTTTTGTTTTTCTTTTTTTTTTTTTTTTTTTGGAGTCCATGCCTTACTAAGTTGCTTAGAGCCTCAGCCTCCCAAGTCACTGAGATTACAGGTGTACACCATTTTTTATGGTCTTTTTTTAGTGTTATTGTAGAAAGCCCTTTCCCACCTACCCCTATACTGCATAAACTGTTCTGGTTAATTTGTTTTAATTATGCAGTACTTAAGACATAGCATGTTTGTAATGTTGACCAAAAAATAACCTATTTGAGGCTAATGGTACCAAGATGTTTACCAGACTGACAGACCAAGGCAGTGACTCTAATCCTGGGTTAAATGTATGAACTTCTAGATTTAGGGAAACCCTTTGTGCTGTTTTACAAGAACCTATAGCTGTCAAAAAAAAAAAAAAAAAAAACAGCAAACCAAGGGTCCACAGTAAGAGTAGTTCTCCAGAGCCGGCTTCATTATTGTCCTTTTTTCCCCTTTACTTGGGATTGAACCCAAGGGGAATTAACCACTGAGCCACATCCCCAGCCTTTTTTTTGTATTTTCAGACAAAGGGTCTTGCTAAATTGCTGAAGCTGGCTTTGAACTTGCCATCCTCCTGCCTCAGCCTCACAAGCCTTTGGAATTACAGGCATATAGGGTTTTTTTGTTTGTTTGCTTGTTTGTTTTTTAAACTTATGAACCATGTAGAATCTTCAAGGCCAGCCTTATGAAGAAAGTGCTAAAGTGGTGATTTACTGATAATACATCTATATTTCTATTCACTTTAAAATAAAACCCTAGATACAAGAGCTCAAATAATGTCTTGGGAGTTGGCAAAGCATTGGTAACAATCTAGAATGTTGATATAGGAAGATAACTATAAATCTCAGAAGGAGACTGGGGATATAGTTCAGTTGGTATAGTGCACAAGGCCCTGGTTTCAATCCTCAGCAACACAGGCAAAAAAAAAAAAAAAAAAGGAATCAAGTTTGATTTTTGTGTCACTGAAGATGTTGAAAGTTGATATGATATGCATTTATTTCTAAATTCTTGGAGCAATATTAATTCAGACATTCCAGTTTAAAAGCAGAAAGTTTGAGATCATGTTGTATTTAGAAATGTTAGCCAAGGAACTAAGTAAGTTTACTTTAGTATCTGGTACTGTCTATAAACTGCACCATTCCTTGTAAATGTCCAGTTTATCTTCCCAAATTCAGTCTTTATCATTATCTCCTTTTTGTCTTTAATTCAGATCTGGTCTTTGCCCATTTTAATATAGTGAAAAGTTTTGTCCTCCAAATGGCAGAATTGGACATTTATAGAGGTGAGTGCATTAACAGCCAGCAATTTGACTTGTGTTCATAGTTGTGTCACAAAGATGACATTACACTAGTTGCTTTGGATTTACTAGGTATTGAGGAGAGTAGTGAATGTTGGAAATCTAGTAGATCCTACTATAAGTCCTCTGAAGGTGAATAATAGTAAATTTTCAGAATTTGAGCTCTTATGCTTTTCATCTTTATCAGCTTATTACCAAACAAATACATAAAGGCATGTCAAACATTACCATGTAAGGCTACCAGAAGGTAACCTTTGTTCCAGTAAAGCATTCTGATAAATGCCTATGTAGGCAGAAAATTAACTGAATTATTGAAAAACAACTTTTCAAAGAGCCCTAGTGAATCCTACCTCTGTTTCACATACCCTGTTTCAGTGGGCTTTCCTGGAGTGTGGGCTTGCTTTTGACTGTTAGAGCTACTCACTGTGAAACAGGCACCACAACCATCTATGCACCCGCCTCAAACAGGCAAACCAGAAGTGAGAAAGGAACAAGATAATTTGGAAAGAAGTACAGATTTCACTGATTTTTATTCTAATATATAGATAAATAAGGTTTGAGTTACCTTTAAGAATTTATTTAAAGATAAACTCACTTAGAGAACTGAAAATCATTAATGTTATTAGTAAAATAGAATTTTTAGTTCCCTTGGAAGATAAAAGGTGATACATGTGTCGTATGATGATAAACAGATTTGCAGGTCCTTTCCCAACATTGGCCATAAGCCAAACATGATTCTGTTTTGGTGAAATTCAGTGTTGGCAAGAGCAGAGGATGGCCTGTAGGCAGCTGCACTGTAAGCCTCCCAGGAGCTTCTGTGGACCACCACATGAGAAGAAAAATAATTTGACAATGGAGAACTTTTAGAAACTTCTCTTGTACCTCTTATGAGAAAAAGTCCCTAAGCTACAGGATTTGTTAAATGGGTTTTAATCAAAAGGAGTGCCTGTGATTTAAATAATTTTATCACCAAAAAATATGAATGTGATTATTATAAAAAGACCAAGTGATGAGGTAAACTCTGTTATAGTAGTTTTATCACCAGCTGTTTAACTGGATTCACACTAGGATATTCTTTCTCAGCTGAACCAGTGCAGACAGCAGAGTGAGCAAGTAGTACTGTACAAGAAACAACTGATGGCCGAGAATAACAAAATTTCCATGTCATTTGATCAAGCAACAAGATTCTTA